ACTAGAGGGGCATAACAATAACGATAGTGAAATGGTTTTCGATGTAGTCATCTGTAAGATATATATATTTAGAAAGATAAACAAACAAAAAATATGTTTGTTTCCTTATAAGCAACCAAATCATGCATAATTAGACACGATATATCATCGACATAAAAATAATGAAGTTAATAGGTTAAATAATATGGTACACGACATCATATCGAGAATATATATTAATATGATTAGAAGTGATAACATGTTCAATGTTCTTTCGGCATATCGCATATGTAAGTTTTTATTTTTACAACATTAATATGTTTAGGATTATGCATCCATGACAATGATCACTAAAGTAGTAATAGTTTGACGAGTGATGTTCATATTAAGAAGGCCGATAAATTTCTTATCAAAGATATAAAAATATCTAATAATAGATTCACATCGAAAGAAGTGTTATGTGATAAGGATCCAAGATACCGAATAACTTAGTAAGTCGGCTCATGTATATATTTCAACGGTCAAATGGGCAATATATATATATTTTTTTTAATTGGTTTTCAATTAAAAATATATAATCCGACGAAGATCTGTCCACCATTTTAGCTGTAGGTTCATGTGGTAAGTGTAACAAGTGTTATACTCGTGCGTCGTTTTAATGCATCGTTTTAATGAAGTATACACTTATTTGTTAAGAACTGTTTTTAGATGTGTAACACCTTGATCCTAGTATTTCCCATTTATGCCCTTAATATGAAATATATTTGCAAAGTTGGTCTCTTGGCTCCTTAAGTGGAAATCGTGTTTGTTCCTAGTACACTAGGCGTACTCCAACTTACGTCGAGTGTAAGTAGCTGAGGGTCAAACCCTAATTTTTAGGGTTTGAGCCCTATTTAAGCAACATTATTTTTCTAAGACTTCTTCCCTCATCAGCCTCCATCTCCCAAATTGTTCCTTGCTAACCTTAACCCATTGCGTGAGCATTTTGAGCTTAAAAGTGTACTTTTGGTGATCTTGAAGGAAGAAGAAATAAGTGGAATCAACTTAGAACCTCAAGGCATCTTGGATTCAGAAGTATCTTGCCCTCAATCTTCATTGGGAGGTTTAAAGCTTGGATCTTGATGTGTTATTTGCTTAGATCTTGTTAGTTTAGAGGTTGTATGCATTTTGGTCCCATAGTTTAGTCTAATGGATTATGAGCTACTCCATGTCCTTGAAATGTAGTTTCCTATAGTTTTGAGCTTCTAGTTTCATAAAAATGAGAGCTTAGACACTTTCATTAATCAATGCAAGAGTTTGGGAGTTTTGGGTGACTTTTGGACCAAGGGTTTGAGTTTTTACCCACTTGAATGCAGGCAAATGGATAATGTCAAAGACTTTATCCATTAAGACGTCCCTTGATATTTGGATCTGAAGTTTGGTGCTTTGTCTTAACGAAATAAGAGCTTAATGGAAAAGTTGAGGTTTGGCTCAGGTACGTTCAACATACCTGGAGGTACAAGGGTTCGAGCAAGTGGTTTGCGAAGGCACCCTCTACACTAGGCATACAGGTGAGTACACAGCGCATGGCCTATAGCCTATCCGGTCGTCCCCGTGTGTCTTGGCCTACATCACAAAGCATGATCGCCTCAACCCAAATCAACATGTCGACATATGCAACAAATAAACATGAACACAAACCCAACAAATACAAATAATCATACGAATTTAACGGATCACAACAGCATAACAACATACAGTAACCAGGATATCAATTCAATGGATTCAATGGGCCGGCCTTGGTGCCTTCGACCCTTAAGTAAAGTGAGGAACCCTCACCTCACAATCTGAAGAATAGATGATCAATACTCTGCTCCCAAATACCGGCTCAACCCACATCCTAAATGTCAAGACATTTCCATTCTAAATTAATAACACTTCCCCAAAATACCCTTGGTCAAAACTGGTCAAAATCAACAAGTCAATCGACTCAACTCGGCCGAGTCGACTCAAGCTTCGTACGCGGGGCGTGCTCGAGCTTTGACCGTAGTCAGGGTGGTTGACCACGTACGCGGTGCATACTCCAGGTTACACATGGCATACGGTCAGGCTTCCTAAATCCTCAACAAGAGCTTAATGCAATAAGCTCTCACGTCCAACTTTCAGATCCAAGGCTAAAATACCATCAAGAGTCATAAAGTTTCCAACTTTATCACTTTGCTTGTCCACTAAGTTCTTAATACACAAAATCTGAACCGCTTAATGCCTTAAGTGATGGATTTTAAGCAAAACAACAATTCCTATGTGTGCATGCAACCCGAATGCTTTGAATATAGGTTTTCTCTAATTGAACATGCAAACTTGAACATAAAAGGAGAAACCCTAGGAAGTGTCTACTATTTTCGAAATTGATATAAAGCTAGAGTTAGGTTACGTACCTTGATTGTTATATTGTAATAACAATGATTCCCTTGTATATCGTGAAACTTGAGAACTTAGTGTCACAAGTGTA